TTTTCTCCGGTTTCTGAAAACTAAGCACTACCCAGAGGCAACATGTTGCAAAGCAAGCTGTGTGGGCACGTCTCAGAAATGAGGCCAGCATGCTTTTGGTGTAAATGTCAAGCCAAATTGAATATCTGTAGGAATATTTCGAGCATATGTGAGGCTCCAGTCCTTCTGTCACACTGATCGGAATTTACAGTGTGTGATGACAGAGAAAGGCTTTGAACTGTCAGCTTTATGTTTCTTTGAATTCAGCAAACAAAGCCGAGCAACATGGTTTTGTTTTTTGACAGACTCTGCAGAGTATCAAATTTTGTCTCCATCCATCACTTCCTCTGCTTACTTTAAATCTTCATCCCTCTCTCTCCTCCTCCTCCTCCTCCTCCTCCAACCTTCATCCTAGTCTCTCCCTCTTTTTGTATTCTGGTGTCAATCCCTCCATTCATTGGGCTCTCCCTCGAGGTGTCGGGGGATGGCTACCTGCCCGTGCTTACTGCATGTCATCTGGCATTTTCTCCATCACTGTGATCACAGACGGCCGAGACATCCCAAGAGCTACAGGTTTACTCTGCCGCTGGTGCGAACAGAGGTCGACTGTAGCTCAGCCTTACAGACACAACTCATCAACTAATCAATAAAGGGGAGATAAAGTGACGACTGTGTGCTGTTTCTCTGCTGAACGTTTCTGATTGATCGGTTAATATTTGTTTGTTCTCTGTGTGAAACTTTGATACTGCTGTCTCGGCCAGGACTCTCTTGGAAAAAAAGATCTTCTATCTCCAAGAATATTTTGCTGTAAAATAAATAAATAAAACATTGCTATAAAGAGAATCAAAACCCATGACTCATCCAATGGCTTTGCTTTTACAGATTCTTCTTGCACACACTCAGCTGAGTCAATAACAACAGTGTGAAGAGAAAAACTCCAAACAGTTGTTCCTGAGATGCAGAAGGACGCACTGACCGCCAGACAGATTGACAATCCTCAAACATAGAGCTGGCAGAGATGCACAAACCCCAGTGGAGTCTGAGGAAGACTCAAAACGTCACCTGTCCATAAATCCTTCAAATGGGAGCTCCTTGGTGTGCCGATCTTTTTTTGCTTCTTTGTACCAAACCCACAGAAACATTTGAAGGGACATTTCTTCACAAGGTTTGTTCAAACTTTATGCATAAGATTTGTGGCTTTTAAGAGCTGAGTGAGAATGTCACCGTTTGTTTTCCATGGAGTAGTGTTGTAGTCAAGACCACGTGAACCCAGACCAAGACATACCCGGGACCAGAGCGCTCTAATACCAAGACAAGACCAAGACATTTAGGGATCCAGACCGAGTCAAGACCAAGGCAGGGCGATACAGAGACAAGACCAAGACCATAAATATCAATGAATCATCATTGTGTGCAGGGGGCGTGTCACTCACTTGGACTGTAACACTGGGAAGGTTGTGGCCGTAACCGGGGGATAAAACTCAAGTTATTTGTTTTCCTTCTAAACACAGTAATGACACGGAAAAGTAGTCTGTCAGTGGTGGTCTTGATCGGGCTTGATTTATCTGGAGACTGAGACCGAGACAAGACAGAGTAAAAATGCTTTGGATTTCGAGATGAGGCCGAGACCTTCAAAAAGTGGCCTCGAGATTTTGAGTACTACAACAGTGACATGGATGCTAATCATATCAGCTGTGGTGCGGCCAATGATGAAATAGACGGAGCTACATCAGTACGGACAGGAGGACTCTTCCTCTCTTCAAACCTGTCCTGGATGTTCTGTACAGAAACACATCACAAAACGTTTTTATAGTTTCATCCAAGGGAAAGTGTAATTAAATGTCACCAGTCCCACAGAGAGACCCCCGCTGAGATTTACAGCTGACCCTGGGAACCCGTTTTAACAGTTCTATAATTACACGTCCTCAACAGATGAATTCTTCAAGCCCTCCGTCATACAAGCAACGAGAGTACAGGACCGTTTTTTACAGCCATGCATGCAGCTGCACCTTTTCCCCGCTGCAATAAAATATCTCTGTGCAGGCTGCTGTCTTCTTCAGAGAGTAAAATGAACAAACACAGTTCCAATAAGGAAATATGACTGTGTTTAGGTTGCAGTTAAGCTGAAACAAACTAAATATTAGGTCTTAAGTCTTCAATATGAAAATAAATAAGAAAAGACAAAAGGCAACACAACAACAAGTCCTTATTTTCATGCTGGGGTTATCTTTGTAGTTTTGGTGATTTATCTCCTCTATTTTGATCGTATTATGCAAATGAGCACACACCTCAAATTAAAAGAGGAGTCGGAAGAAATGTTTATAAACCCAACATTCAAACTGGGCCCCTCCTCCTGGGCTCATCGCCCCCAGAAGCTCTCACTCACTGCAGGACGTAGTGTGTACATTTACTGCTGCTTGTACCTACACTACAAACTGATCACGCTAGCAACAGGCAGAACGGATACTTTGATTCTTTTCCATTCCATGTGCTTTAAAACGCTTTGTTCTCTGTTTTTTTTAATAATCGGCCGTATTAGAAAGTAATTTCTGTAAAATCTATTTTATTAGGAAGGTGCGTAGAAGAGGAATGAAGTCATCAAAAGTTGCAATTAGACTCACAAAAACATGTGCAACATTTTGTAGGCAGTGTGCAGAAGTTTGTCTGCAATATTTGTCGATTAAAAACAAGAACATTTTCATTTCTGTTTCTATGGTATTGAACAGGTATCGTGTGACGACCCCTCTACACCACTAGGTGTTTCCGTCTTGCTGGTTCTTTCTTTCCTGTTGTAGGTTCCGGTAAAGGCGGGGTTGTGATCAGGGGTCAGGGGTTGAGCTAAACCTGGGCCCGGTGTAGTCCTCATCAACAGACGGACGCGCTCTCTCTCTCCTTCTGCTCTCACGCCCTGTGAGCATCACGGCACAGCTGTTTCTATTTTTTTTTTTTCACACTCACCATTTAATGATGTTGTAAATAAATGAGGTGGCATTTTGATCGCCCTGGTCTGCGCTCCGTGTTGTTGCAGCCTCAGAGGCAGGCTGTAACGTTTGATTTTCAAAGTGTTGAAGTTGAACTTTCTGTTATCGTGACAAACCTGTTCCGCTAAAGTAAAAAGGTCCTGAGAGAAACAGATCATTACGATGTTTACCTCAGGTAAGTCGTTGGGCGCCACGCTATATTCAGTAAAAGCTTCTCTGATGTCACATTATAAATTAATAACACTATAATTACACAGAACGAAGGCCTGTGGCATCACATCGACAAACAATAAAAACGTCTTCAGTGCACCTGTTTTCACCCAGCGTTGTAAAACCTCTGCCCCAGATTTCTGACTTAATAACAGCCCTCATACTACACTCAAAGAGTTCCTTATGATCGTATACGAGTTTGCACGCCTTTCTTTATGACTAGTATCACAGAAAATCTGTGACAGAGATACGTTGCATCACCATAGGAGCAGAAGATAAATAAAGAAAAATGTGGGTATGTTTTTTAGAGATGCACTCAATGAGCCGATTCTTCAAACCTTGTGCAGACTAAGAGACTGACAGTGAAGGTTTCAGCGTGCATGACACGGTGAAATCAGTTACAAAAACACGTTAATTACAAACGCCTGGATCACACAAGGCAATCCGTACCGTGCTCAAGCATGTTTGACCACCAAAATTCTGTTTGTTTGACTAGTGTGAGTGCTCAGATCTGTGGTCAAGATTTACACTTCTTCGGCCCTGGCACAAATGGAAGACTTACGCTTCGCCGCGTACAGTTGCTCATGAACCAGTTGTCTGTTTCTGACTACCATAACCCAAAATAAGCCACAAAGTCAGTAAAGTTGCTTTCATGCTCTCTGTGTTGTTCTCTGATGTTTTTGAATTTTTTTTGTGCGTGCTTGTAAACTAAGCACGCTTCAAGATATTATAAAGCAACGTATGATTTGTATTACGACGTTATGGACAAGAGGTAACCGTGCTCAGGCCTGGTTAGTCCCTGAGCAGTGTGAGTGCAGGCCAGCGGGGGAATGGGGAATGGGGTTTGGCAATCATGCTTCAGCACGGTATGGAGCAACACAGTCTAGTGTGAGAGCCCCTTTAGTGGTGCTGATGAATTTGACAAATAAAATATTTACCCGACCCTCATTGACCTTAATGGGTTTAAATGGGTCAAGTGATGAAGGGCTGGTGTTGACGTCTCAGGGAAAGTTAATCACTCACTTCTCTCAAAACCACCGAACACAGCAGCTGAAGAGAATTCAATCACTTCCAATTAACAACACTCTTGCAGCGATGAAAGTGGGCAAGAGAAGTGGTTCAGATAGAAGTGATTGTACCCGACCTAAAAAGTCTCTGCATGTTTCTAATAAGCTCCACGAGCAGAAACGTGCTCAAACTAGGATCAATATTGGAGATGCTTTTGAAAAATGGAGAGAGGTTAGAACACAGAAAGGTTTACAGACTGATGCAGAGCTGGCTAAACACTGAAGCTTCAGTGTCCACCACATGGCAACCTGGGTGAGCATCGACTCTACAGAGGAGGGGGCGGGGGGAGACAGCTCTCTACAATGTTTGGAATTTGGACTGCAGTGCCAATTTTAAACACTAGGGGTCAGAGTTACATTCTGTGCCAATTACCACTTAGGAGCCCTTAAGCAAGGCACTAGACAACCAATCCATCACAGGGCTAACTGCTGAGCTTGCAGGTGTTAACGCCAAGATCTGTATGAACCCAAAGCATGACTGAACAGAAGCAGGGTGAATTCCTCGTCAGATTTCACTCGATAACCGCTCAAGAACGACAAATTCCACCATAAGATTGTTGTGAACAACACAAACATAGTGCTGAGTGATTATCAGACGACTAGCTTAGCAATTAATCTCTAAGTAACATAGTAAAACTTCTTAGCAGGAGAAGACTCAACAATATGAAGAGAAGAAGAAGGATGATAAAAGTTCAACATTAAAACATTCTTCCTGAATATCGACTATGCACATGTAAGACGACCTCTCAGTTCCGTCTCTTACCTGGTTGTATCTTGTAAATGACCTTGTAGCTGTCATACGCTCCTTTTGGCTCTTTCCAGGACACATGCAGCTTGGTGGGGCTCAGGACTTTGGAGCGAAATCTCCGGGGCGATGAAACTACGGAGAAAAACATCCACAGTTTTAAACCATCACTGCACGGCTGAAACGTTCTGTATATAAGTGATGAAGTCATAAAAAAAGAAGCATCCCTGTCATGCATCATCCACACCTCCAATATTCAAACATCAAAATTAGACAGACTGCCTTCAGTCAGTGTGTTTTAGTGGATTAAACCCATAACAGTGGAAGGAGTTCAATTTAGTTCAGTCAACATTTAATATTAAAAAGACCAATTTTGGTCTAACAATGCTGAAAGGAGAATCCTGTTAGTTTAACGCTGGGCTCTGATTCGTTCATATTTCAAGGTGTAAATGACTCAAGAGTTTAAAGAAATTCAGAGCGGCTTGATTGTTTCGACAAGCAGCTGCTAAACAGGTCTCTCTGGGTGTCTGACGATTCAATTCATTTTCAACTCTTGGGGTCACGATTTGATTCAGAATCTATTTTTTGATTAAAACAATTCTGGATTCATGGATCCATGGAATCAAAGTCTATTTTTGAATTAGTAAAGATAAAGCGATAAAGATAAGAATCTAGATTTTCACAATTATACTGCTTCATACTCAAAATATATATACTGCATACTGAACACTAAGCCGACCGATTAAAGGCAGATAATATTTCAAAAATAGATCTAAGACAGATATCGGTCGATATATCGGAATTTCTTTTCTCCCCAATACCGGAATCAGCCCCCAAAAAATCCAACATCGGACAAGCCGTAGTTAGCCTGCCGCTGTCAACGTATTAAAATTTGGGTCATGCGACAAACTTCATTGATGAGCTAGCATCAAGTTAGCGCAACCGTCAGTTCGTAAATATAACACAACGACTTAAGTCTTTTTATTGTTATGCAACATGTAAAATGTATTTCAGCACAAACTAGTTGGCTGGCTGACGAGCCTCGTGATTGGACAGTCTGAGAGCTGCAGTGCATTGTGGGCCGGTTTAGTATGACCATTATTTTCCTGTTTCTTACTTTAAAATTCCATCCGACTTAGTAAAAATCTGTTTATGTTCGAGTTGGTATCATACTGAATGTGACGTCTCATTTAGTATGATAACCCTAACCCTCTAATCGACCCTTAGCAAAACAAGACGTTTTAGTCGAAACACTTTGAAAAGTGTCAGATTTGACCGTAAAGCCATTACAGTCGGTTGCATGGCTGCTGGTTGAAACCATTCCAAACGTTCTGCACGTATTGGTCTTTAAAATTCAAAAGATGTGAATTGGCCCACGTTTAAAGTAGCAGCATTCCACTTTCAGTTCAGATTTTGTTTTCTGTGTCTGTTTTTCACCTCTTGATTTATTGAGTAACACAAAAAGGTTTCTCAAACTGCTGCCAGAAACAGATCTTGTGGTGTCCCAGCTGAGATGCAGGTTTTATAAAATACGGTCGATTATCAATCACAGCTCTGACTGAGTGACTTAAATTGAACTCCTCCGGGGTTACGGTGAAGATAAAGGCTCCATCGCTCCATCTGTGAGTTTAAAACAGGTAAGAAAGGAAAAACAAACAAGATGGATAACCTGTATCTCATCCAGGTGGGAGGATACATTTCAGAGATATTAGCTTGCACAGATGTCACATTAAAAATCAAAGTCCCATCCTCCTCCTCATCCTCATCTTCCTCCAGTGCTGATGAGCCCGCATTGTGCTCGTCTCTGTGGGGAGACGACAGGTCGTCGGCTGTGTTCCACTTACCGTCAGCATCAAAGCGACGCCCCTGCCTCTCATCATGATTAGTTGTTGGCCCTGTCTGCCGCCTCGAGGCCTACCCCCCACCATTTCTCTGTATCCTTCCCTTATATTCATTTTCTCGAGCGATCGCTGCCTCTCCGTCTCCCTCATCTGTCCCTCAGTCTTTTTCCCTTTTCTGTCTGAACCCTCCCAGTCCTGATCTCATTTTCTCTTTGCGTCTCTGCGCTTTGAAATTATCGTCAGGGGTAAGACGAGGATGAGAAAAAGAAATGAATGTGACTTTCTTTTAAGTGAAAGGAGAGAAAGAACAAAGGGCACCAAAGGGAAAGGCACTGGAATAGAATCTGTTTACTATTCCTCTCCTGTCCTGAGCAGGAGTGTTAAGATGTACAACACACAGTGACGGGATCCACCAAGCTGCACAATATCCAAATACACTTTACAATGGCTTTGACCGGTGTGTAAATCCTCAGAAAAGTCAACGACACGGTGAGTGTGAACTGTAGATCCTCGTACACAAGTGTATGATCACATTTCACTCAGCTCTAAAGCCGTGTTGTTGTTCTTTTCTCCTTTAACGCATTAGTTCAAACACTGGAACAAGGCCATTGCAAAGCACCGCCGATGCCAACAACCACATTTCCAGGGTCAACGACAACAACACCCCATCATTTCTACACCCACGCAGCCAAATCCCATTCGATAAATATGTATTCAGAGGCAACACATTCCCCAGTCTGAGTTGGTTAACAAATAAAAATATTTAAAAAAAGAGCGAAGCATGGGGCCTGAAAATAAAATGTGAAGCGCACAAACTGGTTCCTGTGTTTGTGTCCTCATTATGAGGTGAGCCATCTGCTGCTGCCGACTTCTTTAAATACCTACACGGAGATGAGTGTCTCCTGCTAGAGCTCTGAAGGCTTAAAGGGATGGTTCGCCCCAAAACAGAAGAGAAGCGATTTTCATTGGTGATATGTTTTCTCTCAACAGCACCTTTCACATGATCTCCTGAAAATCTCAGTGCATGATTCGGACGGGGGCTACATGGAAGAATCCATGTGTTTGTCCACCCTGACATGCAACGCTCAGCAACCTGACGGACTACCTCCTGCACACGCTGCGCACACACACTATGTCCGCTGCACGACCATAGACTGTCTGCACGCCACCTCTATCATCTCCGTGCTCTATTGAACCTGCTGCATTATGTTTCCTGTTCTCCAGTATGTTCTCCTCCACTCTTTAGTTCAGATTGTGATTCTGTTCAACTACATGTAGCACTGATAGAAAGACAGATATTCTCATTATAGCTGTTAACCCTGTTGCTTAGTCCGCTACTTCCACATCGTTCTTTTTACGTCATGTCTTGTTAGAAGACAGGGACAGTCATAAGTTACTTGTGTACTATGGTTACATTAAGGCACCAAAACTTATCGGTTTACGTTAAGAAGTTATATTAATACATTTTTCACAGTTTTCCCCGTTTCTCATCAAGCACCATTTTTAAAGACAAACGAGACATTGCTTAGCTACTAATGCTAACGTCAAAGTCAGAGTGGATGCTGTTCTTAATATGTACAGATTTTACTCCACCCACATGCAAACCTCACACCACAGGTGGACCTTAATCTGCAATGACAGCGCTGTTTGTTTCGTTAGAGCGAGTCTGTTTTTGGATGTTTTCGGTGGGCTTTAACCAGCCCCTCTTTAGCTTCATTCTGTGTAATACAGGATTTAGTGAAGCTGATGGGACCCGTCACAAACACCTCTGCAGCATTTTGGGAGAACCACCTCCTTAAGCTCGTCATTATCTGCAGGAGAATACTCATGTAGGTATGCAAAGAACCTTGAGATCAGCACAGGGAGGATAATCCTGAGTTCAGTGGAAAGAATGTGAAGCCGGCGCATTCAACAGCGGGTAGATATATTTATACACAAACACACATAAGGAATACTGTACCAATTATCTCACCAACCTGGGGATGAGAGTGAAGCCTGCTTGGGATTTCGGCGAGGGGTTTAGCTCTCTGTGTCGGAAACAAAAGGGCCTTCTCTCGTCTGGAGAGGAGAGAGCTGCTCAAATCCCAAATGATTCGAGAAGCAGATTTCGCACCTCTCTGTTTGTCGTCGAAGTGTGCTGATGTTGTGTGCTGTGTGTACTTGTGTGAGTACATACATACGCATGTGCACGGGTACGCATGAATTATACATGGCGAGTACATCCTGGTGTATGCACATACAAAATCTTTGATGGTTGTTATTTTTTTTTTCTCAAGCAGTTCCTTTGCAGCGTTCCACACACACACACACACACACACATACACACACACACACTCAGAGCACATACTGCATCTTCTCTGTGAGATGTTGTTCTTGCAGAGAGACGAGTATGCTGAGAAAACAGCCTGCTGAAGACAAAGGGCCTCGCCTATCGGGACGAGAACTTCATTCTCATCTATTTTTTATGGAGGACCTTGTGCAAACAGCCGAGCTGGCTCCGGCTGTGGGAAGGAGAAGTGTCCGTCACACCCACTGTGAGCTGCGCGGCAGAGTCACACACACAAAGTTTGCGCATTTTAAATGTTCAGCGTGAGCAAAGAATCCAGGTCATGTTGTTAGCTGAGTGAATATAAACCCTTTTGTTTATGAGACAGGGTTCTGTCTTATGAGAGCAAACTAAAGCTTTCAAAGTTTCTGCTCAACTTGAATCCAATTATTTCTCTATTTCTTATGCTGACAATTTCCTTTCCAGCCCCGTCAGCTTCTGATTATCTTTCTTGAGCGTCTGTGGTTCTGTGAAAGAAAGCTTTCAAAATGTGACCTAAAAAATGCTGCCACTAAAAAAATTTGACCACATTCCCTCTCGACCTGTTTCCCCTCCAGCAACACAAACCCTCCGGATACTTCTTACATTATTTCTGCAGGCGAGGAAAACAAACCTGAGCCACTAAAAACCCTTCCTGACCTCTCACCTCTTTCATTGGATTTTCTGAAAGGTGTTGTGTTGTCGAGTAATAGAGGACATGACTAAGTAATGACTTAATAACAGTCTTAACTCCTAAGTTAAAAGTGTGGTTATCAGAATCACTGAAAGGAATGCTCTACAGTGACCGTTACGGGTCCAATTTGATTTTCATTTCATTCTAAAAATCTGTCTTCTTACCCGACTACTCTGGAGCTCTAAGGGAATCAGTACAGAGGAGGTTTTCTGTGGAGACTCTCCAGGCTGAACATAACTCGTCCGCTCTTCTCAGGTCACTGATGTAGCCGAGGTTAGCACACTATGGCCTCGTCACTGAGGAATGCTTTGTTTACACCCCAGCCAAAAACCTGATCAGTGTCCTTACAGTCAAAGACATATTCTGTTACACAAGCGTCAGGCTGAACCTTATCTGCACCGTTAAAGCTGCAGACAGAGAGCTCCACATTTCTTGGAGCTTAAAAGGTACTCTCACTAAAATGTCACTGATTTCAAAGATTGATTACTTTTAGGTTGTTTGAGGCAGAAACGTTGAGAGCTACAGCTTTGATTTTCTGTATTCCTTTGTCTGTTGTGTGAATAATTTCTATCCCGGATTTTAAATGTTATTTGAAGAATAACTAACAAATATCGAGTGATTATAAAACATTTGGCAGATTTATTAACGCTGTCACTTCGGTTCCAAACCTCATCTTTCTGGACTTAACAAATAAGGAAAAGCTGAGCATTATTTATTTTTTAGGCTTTTCTCTGATTTCAAACGGTTTCAGTTTTTTTATTTTTCAGGTAAAAGCGGCAAACCCCAAAACCAAAGTATAGTAATGCTACATTCCTGCCAATTTCCACAGTCCGTGCACGCTGCGTTATGTTAGCGCCAAGGTTTTGCTCCATCTGACTGCGCGCGGCATGAGTATAGCGAGCACAGCTGTACACACGGGTTCACAAGATCACAGGAGAACTACAAGATAACGCGGGAAATAAAGAGAGCAACGTGCAAACAACCTGTTGCTTTGTCTCTCTGAGGATGATTTGTTGTTCATCCGGCGCCTGTTTCAAAGAAATGTTTACAAAGTGATGGAAAATACAATCAGGAGTCTGTCTGTTGTGTTTTATTTTCAAAATGGCCAGATGCTCTGTTTGTTTCCTTGTCTGAATACCTGTCTGGGTTGATCTATTTTGTTCAACTTGACGCGTGCCTGCAGCGAGCTCTGCCGAAAAGAGACTCACAGCGGGGCTGCTTTGCTGTGGAAACAGGAGGAGACTAGAGGAGAAGCAAACGGCACTGAAGGAACGCGGCGCGCCCGGACCATTTCGAAATTTGCTGTCGTCTCTGTTCTTCCATTTTAGCCGCCACACATCTTCTGACAGTCGTCCAGGTTTGCAGGTTAGCATCCTGACCTTTTCAAACTCTTTCAGTGATTATGGGATGGCTCTGGTTCAGTCCCTCTTCTGTCTTTATGGTTATGGACGTATGTCAGCGGCTTCGGTTCTTCACCACACGACTGAGCAGGTTCGGTCCTGTTTTAAGTTCAACAACGCCAAAAAAACAACAACTCTGAAATGTGGCAAATGCTGAACGTGCTGTGGAGGAGCAAAAGTACCTGAGTGATGTTAAAGTGAAACATCGCTCTAACGCATTTCTTCTTCCTTCTGATCTGATATGACATCCAAAACATTAAGATTCAAATAAAGATTCAGCATCTTATCGTCAAGCCATCGTCAGGTCGGCTGTAAAATGAGGCACTCTGCACAGATCATTTCAGACACGCCGTGAATAGTGATTGACTCTGCACTCCCACAGAGAACGCTGACTGAGAAGAAGGACTGTATTAGACTGTTAATGATGAAGATGACGTTAAGGAGGCTCTTTGTACACAAGGTAATGAGGGAGGTTATGTGTTAATTGCTGAATAAGTGAATCGAATTAATTAGGGTAAGAAAAGAGGTCAGAACACGGGTTGTCAAAAGAAAAAAGGACTCCTAAAGAAGAGCTCTTGAATAAACAGACAGTGAGGTGCTTCAGTTTAACACACAAACGCTGTGAATTAACAGACTCCACGCAAATATATAAATGTTTGTTCAAGTGATAAATCACAGCTGGGACTAGTGGAGTATTCAACTCCTGAGTTAGACCTGAGAAATCTGTCCTGAAAAAGGCGATGAAAGATTCCCTCAGATAAATATGTTACACACCTGTTTGAGTGATTACAGACGAGACATAATGAGCAGCTTTTCAAACACACAGCTTCTCGTTATGATGTGATTTAAAGGCTTTTCCCTTTGAGACAAACATGTGGGAAAATGTAAATTAAAAGGACTCATCAAAGAAGAACTTCACAGGTCAAAGGAATTTCCTTTGAAGCAAAGCAGCAAATCAAAATTTCAATTCTAGCCTGAGTGAGTGCAAAGATAAAATATAGTTTGTGCATTTCCACAACAGGGCCAGGGTTATAATCTGTTTCATAATGCTGACAGCGATTCAAGTTTAGGAAGGTTTCTAGCCCTGTAGTTTCAGGTACTGTAAATGAGGAACCTACAGACTCTGCATAGCTTGGTCTGGAAGTCAAGTGGCAAACCCTGGGTGGCCCTAACCTCCTAAATCTGAAGCCCAAGAAGACCCTGCTTAGCACCACAATGGAAAGCCAGAAGAAAAAACCTCCTAAGCACCGAAATCTGAAGCCCAAGAAGAACCTGCTTGGCACCAAAATAGAAGCTCTAGAAAATCCAGCTAAGTGCCACAATGAGGAGAAGTCACAGGAAACCGTGCAGCAGACCCTGCTGGGAGAGACCCTGTTCAGAGCCATGACAGAAAAATACCTGCTTGAAGCCATAAAGAGAAGCCCTAGAAACCCTGGAACAAAGATAAGTCTAAGGAAACCCTTCCATGCTTAGCACCACCTACTGTAGAAGCCTAAGGAACTCTGCTTGAGCGATGATGAAAAATTCCAGGAACCCCGCAACCCAACGAGAAGCCCTGAAAGACCCTGCCTAGCGCTATATAGGAACTCCATAGGGTGCCGTGTTTGGATCTGCGGTGGTGAACCTTCAGCCCGATTTATCTCTGCTTTGTATCTACGCCGGTTCACATAGTCGCAGAAGTATAAACCAGGCTTTATTGTCCTCTTAGTAAAGGTGACTGACCTCAAATGAGGAAACTTATGGCAGTCTCTAGCCCTGTTCCCACCGAGCGGTCCAGCGTGGATCAGTACAGTTTGGTTCGGTAAAGCCTGATCCTGTTTGCGTTTCCACAGCCAACCGTTGTTACCGTACTCTTGTTTTGGTCGGCGGCGTGTAAGTCGGATGCCGATAGCCGCGTCAGCTACGTAATAGCATGACATCATAGCAGCGCGACACAGTATACCCCGCCAATTAAATTCGACGAAGAAGAAGAACGAGACACAGTAAACAAAGAGCAACAATGGAGGACATCCAGCAATTCGTGGTCTTTCTCATTGGCTTGTGGTTCTTTGTTACAAAACGCAATGAAGCTTTGTTTCAGAAAAGGCTGTGTGTCCTTTATTAGCGCTGTCGCACAGGAAGTGACGATCCTTTCGACCAATCAACGGACTGCAGTGTTAAGCTCCAGCTTTTAGGGTCGGATCAGTAGACTTGGCACCCCAACAGAAGGGTAGCAAAAAGTAAGACGCTAATTTGGGGACCTTTCCCGATGTTTGATAGTGGAAACGCCACAAAATGCGTGCTGTGACGAACTGAACTGAACTGCTTGGTGGAAACGGGACTCATGGTAAACTCTTGTATCCGTGCTTAAAAAAGGAACTTCAGGTATTCATGTTTGAGGACAATGCAGTATAAGAAAGCCAAGTCTATATAGTTGTTAAGGGGATTATACAGCATATAAATGGGACTATAGCTCGCCCTGTAGGGAATCATGTGGGGGGAAACACGGCTGTCCATTTTGGTCCTTTTCTACGAGCCCAGTTTGGCCATCTTAAGTCCTGAGCAGCTGTGTGGTTAACCCTGATTGACCTTGTTGACCCCTGTTGTCCCTTGAGTGAAAAGACTGATTGGAGGTACTTACCTTGGCCCCGCGCTGGCTGAGGGAACAGCGAGACGAAAACCAAGCCCAGCAGGCAGAGGCTCAGTGTGACTGAGAACTGCATCCTGGTAGCAGCAGAAAGGAGGACACCACACACCTGACGGAAAGAGAAGGTGACAGGGACCAGGAGGAGAAAAACAGGACAGGGACCAGGAGAGGTAGATGAAAGGATGTAAATAAAGAAAAAGAAAGGAGGGAGCAAGACGGACAGAGTGTAGAAAAAAAAAGGGATGTGTGAAGAAAGTTGGAGAAGATAAGGAAAGGAAGGACAGAGAGGGTGGAGAGAAGGAGTACAAGGGGAGCAAGAAGGGGAGACAGATAAGGAGAGTGAGGAGAGAGGAGACACAAAGGAATTTAAACAGCGTGGGAGAGGACATATAAAGCATGTAATTCAGGATTCTTTTGCAATATTAAGGACATTAAATGGAGTCAAAGTGAATAAACTTTAAACATGTAGTTACCAAGGAGACATTTAATAATGTGTTGACACAAAAACAAGCGTTCTCTTACATCACAGGTGGTGTCTTTTTTTTTTTCTTTTTACCTCCCAGCCCCCTCCAACACCTCCCTCCTTTACTGACATCTCATTGGTTTAGTCGTTTAACCATCCCTCCTGGGATTAGGCTCAGGGCTACTCGATTGTGGCAAATTTCATAATCCCGATCATTTTGATTGATATTGAGATCATGATTATTGAACGCAATTACTCAGTGATTTAACAACATCTGCATCACGTGCATTCATCAAACTTTTAGGGAGTGATGATGTAACAACAAACCTTTTATAATTTACCACACGTAAAAAAAAGAAAAACTCTGGACAGAAAGAGTGAAACACTGCATGCTGCACGGTCGTCATTTAATTTTGATTATTTTGTTTTCATGATCCTGGGAAGACAAAATCATCACTGAAATTTGATTACTCAGCACTAATTAAGCTGCTAAATGTATCACATGATAATTATCCTCTCTTCTCCTTCAGGTCCTGCAGCATGTTAACTTGCAAATGATCAGGATAAAGCAGATCAATAATCATGTATCATGACTGCCACAAACTGTACATGTGTGAGTCTTACTCGCTGCAGAAGGATGTAGCCGCAGCATTTCCCTTCAAACTCTAAAAAAATAAAGACGACATGAGGTAATAATGAGCTCCAAAGATGAGAGACTGCAGACGTTTTCTAATAACTACATTTCATTTCAAACCTTTATTGAAGCCTGAAAATCATTGGTGTCCCTTACCTACAAAGATGTCGTGTTACATAAGAGAGCAAATTAGAAAGAACAAAGAAGGGACGATTCTCAGTGAAAACAATCGCCCACTGTGGTGAAGTGGTTTGAGATCATTGTCTTGATTTGTCAAGGAGGAGCAAGAGAGTCAAACTACACGCACTGCATGATCATCAGATCGCTGCTTCTGATGTGTCTCCCGAAAAAACACCTTTAGTTTCCAACTAGCGCTGCAGCAAACTTTTAATTTCATGCTGCTGTTGTATAATTTATCGTCACAGCAGACAATTCGCACTTGGCATTTTAACCACATCAGCACGCTGCAGTTTTAAGGCAAGCAATGAGTTTTGTAACAAAAACATTCAATCATTTTCTCTGTAAAATGTAGAATTAGGATGAAAATATATTTACAGAGCAGTCTCACATGGGATTTTAAGTGTGTTTACTTTAAGAAAAATCTCTAGAATATCTGTGATTATACCCTCAGGGAGTTACTCTGTGACTGTAGTTCAATATAGTAAGTTTATGACGACATAGCAATTCAAATTAAAGTGTCAGCCTCTCCCTGATTTACAGCTTTAGATGGCATTAGTACTGCTCCCTCCTGCGATCTCTCAAACATCTTTAAGTTAATGTCAGATCAGTCACTCGCAGGTAAAGGTGCATTAGGCCTACAGGTACAGGATATAAAGTAGTAAGAGCACAGTCACAGAGCAGCTTCATGTGGAGATTGTAAAGTCTAAATATTGCAAACAGCTTCTTCTGTTCTGCTGGCAGCCTGATCACTCACTGCAAACTTCACCTCTTTGAGGAGAGACACCAACCCCCCTGGTTAGTTCAGCAACAGACTTGTAGTCATATTACATTTTTATAAAGCTGTGTCTCCTTACATCCTTCTGTACCCATCCTACCCTTTAACTTAACTGCTTTATTCTTTCACGGCTGCTGCAAATTAGCATCCGTTATAAACACCATGATACATGCATTGGATGGCTGTTTTCAGTTTGTCTGTGTATATTATCATCTGTCCATATAACAAACAAACCATCAATAAATAAATAAATAAATAAATATACAGACAACAGCCACCAAAAGGCTGAGAAACGAGTTAAATGTAAATAAAAGCAGCGGAAGTTTCCCTTAATTGAAACGAGCACAGGTGAGGTGTGCATGCATGCCGCTGCGCCATCAGCAGAAAGGTTCCAACTCCACGCGGAGAGGTGTTCAGGTGGAGAGAGAGGAAAGCTCCGCGGGTCTAAGGGCGTGTTGAGCAGAAGGACTCAGAGAGTAAATTCAAAAAAAATGTATCGTACCTTCTCAGATCATATGTTTCCAAGCTGCGCAGCTCTCCTCCGGACAGCTGGACGACAAGCTCAGCAGTGCCCACACAGCGTGTCTGATCCACTCTGTTCAACCAACTCTCCGCTCCCTGCACAGTCCCGACCACGAGTCAAGGCAGAGCCGAGAACGCACGAGGACACCGGGGGAACCTTTCAAAATAAAGGGCCAAACGACAATCACATTTCATGAAACACAGTACAGTGTGTACAGTGATTTTTTTAACCCTGAATGCATTTAAAAAACGCACACAGTTAAATGGTATAACATGTACATCAGTTTTTACCTTTCACCTTTTTACCTTTTTATGCTGTGTATGAGTTTTATATTTTATAGAAGAGAGACATAGCCTCATGATAAGAGGATGATTGTTTTCCATTATGCATATAGAGAATAACGTCTAAATGTCGAGAATTAAGTTGAAATAAATGATCGTGAAATTGTGCCTTTATTCTCGAAATGGTATTTCAGTTTTATTCTCCACGTTTGAACTATGTTGTCCATATTTCGACTTAATTCTCGTAGTATATTGTGACAACAAATCTCCCTCCTCTTCCTTTATTTATTACTTATTTCTCATGCATGACCCTAACCCTCTCCTGTAATATTTAGACTATCATGATAGTCCTACGTTTCCCCCATATTTAGCTTTAGCTAATAAGTTATATATATATATGTATTCACACACATAGGCTAAATATCATCTCACCTTTATCCTGTTTAGTTTATTAATTAACACTGATTAAATGAACATCTCCTGATGTTAATGTAGGCTCTAATTCCCTGCGGAGTAATGCAGCCCCTTCATACCGAGGCTCGACTAAAAGACATGCCATGTTCGATAAAAGAGTTTGTTTTATAAGCTGTAATAATGCCTACCTAGGAAATGAAACAACATTTCTGGCCCTGAAAGAGGGAGGAGACCTAGAGAAAATCAGGGCTCATTGAAGAAAACCTGCTCCCGACCAGGTTAGGTTAACAGACTCAGTTACCATAGTAACTGACTCAGAGGTAAAGTAACCTCTCCCTCTGAAACAGACTGGAGTTACCCCTCTTTCTCGGGTTTGAGTGACCTCCTCTCCTGAAATGGAATACCCAGAGTTTCCCTCATTTCAGGGTTAACGGACTCAGAGTTTGCACTAAACCTTCTTTCAGAAACGAGCGCACGATCATGGCTGTAGCCTAATAAACACGATCACTGTTGTCATTTGAAAGCCTTTATTAATTACTGTTAAAAAATATATATATATTGCTATATTTTCACGTTCAAACAATTTAGGTAGCACCTAAGAAACACCTTCCATTAGACCCCACAACATGTATTTCAATCGAGAGGCAGCCTCTGGAAGAATGAAGCCGATGCTGAAGTGCAAAATCATGCAGTTCCTCGAATGTCCACTAGAGGCTGGATGCAGAAGCACAGGAAGACACATACACACCCATTCAAAAAAAGCCAGTTTTAACAGAAGATATCAAAATGTTTACAGCCTGGTTCAAAAAACAAATAGATCTTATTTGACCCATGGAAATCACCCACTTCCAACCCCCACTTTGGTAATCATTACGTTAGAGTAGGGGTTCCCCAACTTTTCATCTTATGACCACCAAAAATAAAGTTTTCTACAGACAAAATCATTTTGTATAATAGTATATTTATTGTAAGAAAGGTAAGAAGCCAAATTTTATTTATCACTAAGACAGACAACAGACAAACAGTTTCAGACTTTGTCTTTTCCTAAATATCTTAAATACATCATGAAGATACAATTTAATTTTCCTGCTTTAAATGTGAAGAGCACACATCAGTGCTTCCTGTCTAGCTGTATGTAACTTGACGGTGCACTCTGTTCTCCTCTCAGTTGAGACTTGCCGAGGACTGATGGGTGTTTCCCGCTTCATTCACCATCCTGCCCTGCAGCTATTCATTCCTTTTACCTGGTTTAATGCGAGGCGAGGCTGCACACTAAAATATGTGTTTGAGCGCAGCAGGCTGAGAGGGCCTGTGTGTTTCTGTGACCTCTGGCTGTGTGGCTCCCCAGGGCTCCTCTCTGTGTCCTCCTGACTCCTGGGCAGGTGGCTCGTTGTGAAAGTGGAAGAATGGAAAGTGCCTCACTGGTTTTACACTCACTCTACTTCAAGGTGGGTTGCATAAGGCCACAGAATAAAAAGGAGTCCACACAAGCACAGGAAAATCCACACAATCCACACAGACACAAGTCCTAGTTTATGTCTACATTGAAATGACTCCGACATTAGACCAGAGAAGACATATTCAATGCTTTTCCCCCTTTTTTTTAAAGTTATGTCCCCCTCAGGAGACGGAGAAAGCAGGGGCGTGTCCAGACTTTTTTAGGCTTGGGTGGCCAAACTGGGCATGAAGTTTGTATGCACAAACAAACATAATAATAAGCATTTCCTATGTAATATTTCCTACGTTAAAGGTGGAGTCCGTAGAAATGTTGGTTGCAGTTTGTAAACACAACATTCCAACTGGGCCCCTCTTCCTGGGCTCATCGCCCCCAGAAGCTCACACTCCCTGCAGGACGTAGTGTGTACATTTACTGCTTGTACCTACACTGCAAGCTAACGAACGCTTGCACAAGCTGCCTGTCCAAAAGGAAGCAGACCAACTCCTGTGACCTGTGGTGTTAAAGCAATTTGAGTAGTCAGAAGACTAGAAAAGAACTAAACGAGCTCAGGTCCATTTACCATTTAAACAAAATATTAGCTGCTACACTCATTTTGGGATTCTTCCACCATATGAAGTGTTAGTACATAATAATAAAAATGTACAGAGGCTGCAGTCCTCTGAGCATGTCGCCCAGCCTGCATGTCATTCCCCACTCTCACTCTCTCTCCCTGACTTCTGACCCTATCCACTGAACTATCTCTCAACTACCCCCCCCCCCCCTTCCCCAAAACCTCGGATCTTGTAAGCCTGTAGACATTTCCAGAGGAACACAGTAACGTGCACACGGAGCTGCAGCAGGTGCAGGTGTCCTTATCTCTGACACAGCACAGAGCTCTGAATGAATGATGGGCTTCTTTCTGCTCTCTCCCTCTCCCTCCCTCCCCCCTCTCTCCCTCTCCCTCCCTCTCCCCCTCTCTCTCTCTCTCTCTCTCTCCCTCTCTCCCTCCCTCCCCTCTCTCTCTCTCCCTCTCTCTCTCTCCCTCTCTCCTCTCTCTCTCCCTCTCCCTCCCTCTCCCCCTCTCTCTCCCTATCTCTCTGTACCTCGAATGTTTAACCAACGGGAGAACTGAGTGTCTCTCAGCGTTGTCGTCGTGCTCTAATCAGAAACAGAATCTTGTACAGTTCACTTTGTTCCCTTCAGACGTCAGTTTCTCTGCAGATTTAATAAACAGTTTGACTTTACTTTTCTTCTGCAGGAGTTCAGCTTCAATCTGTTAACATGTTTCTGTACTACTTTAAGAATAAAAACCTTTTTTAACTTCTCTTTTAGTCTTATAACTATAAAAGTCCATACTCATTGGAGTCACTGAGAGTTACTGAGTGATCACTTTATGGTAAGGATGCCAAAAGGTTCAATGCTTCGATACCTTTTTGGTGGAAATGTGTTTTAAAATTGGAAGCTGGGACTGAGGCCAGTTATGAGTCTGACAGGCTATATGGATGGACCAGACGATAACAACACACCATGTGATAGTTGGTGGGCTAAAGATAGAACTTACATATACTATCAATGTGATTGATTTAATTACACAAAGAGGACTAAGCTGCTCATAAACACCACAGTTACATCTGAAACATGACTGTTGATGCACGATCAAATGGAACGCACCGCTAGCTGTGGGAGTGTCACCCACCTGGGGGAGGGGTTACTGCCCTTTGTGATGTCATGAAGGGAAAATCTCCAAACGGCCTGTTTGAGCGCACATTTTCTGAAAAGTGGAGCAGACAGAATATGGAGAGGATGGACTTTTCTCATCATTGGGGGGTTTGTAGACACATTGGGAAACATGGTGAAATGTTTTACATCATATGTGGCCTTTAAATTATGGTTTAACAGACGTTTTTATACATTCTCAGTTTCCTGTTGTTCATCGTGATCTCTAGTGTTCACAGTGTGTGTTGTTTCTATCGCCTGAGTCTATGCGCCGGGGTTTCTATCGGTCTATATATGTTTCTTGCAAAACTAATTTTCCCTTGGGGACAAGAAAGTTGATGTTGTGGCGTGAATTTACATCACATATTTTGTTGTTTTTTGTTGTTTTTGTTAAAGTTATGACTCGTCTCCAACAACAGGTTTGTCTTTTTCAAACAGGGAACACTGACTCATCTCTGCTGCTAACATCACCGTGTACTGTGTGATGGCGGCTGACGTCGTGTTTTGGGGATCAGAGCTTCTTCTCTGTCCCGCTTTAATGAAGCAGAACGCTCAGGCTTCATTATGAGACGGCAGATAACAAACTCACTGAACTGAAATGAACTCAAAGTCTGTTTCTGTTATTCTGCAGAAAACGAGAACATGAACCCGTTCACCTGCAGAGTCACAGGTACACTCACACATCAGGCCTTGATTGTGACCAAGTGGAAAATAATGACTGTGTGTGTGTGTGTGTGTGTGTGTGTGTGTGTGTGTGTGTGTGTGCGCTCTCATGGAGGAAATAAAAGCTGATGAAGTGGCATGAAAATCAAGATCTTTTTATTTTCACACTATTCGGGTCTAAATACACAACTCTTCTAATTTTGGAATTGCTCCGGCAGATTGCGTCAGCCACAACACATGCCGTGTCTAATTTCGTCCACTAGGGCTGACTCCACACTGGACCATAATAACCCAGACGATTGTGGGGGAGGCGTGGCCTGATTTGATTAATCAACCGATTATTAGTCCAAATAATCCTCCAGTGTGTGGTGTCACTACAGTTATTGTCCTGCTCCTGATCCAGTCGGAGCCTTTCCGATCTGGAATGATATGAGAGCGAGAACCGGATGTTGCATCACTTTAAGAGCTCACAAACGTGGCGGCAAGTTAAACAGAACTGAGCACCGAGCCGGGAGGAATACTGAAGGAGAATAGCAGCTTGTGTAACTATGGCAACAACACAAGTGTCTTTATAACGTCTCATGAAGT